CCCGGCGAGCCTCCCTCGCGCCTCTCCCGGCTCGCGTGCGCCCCGCCCTCCGCGCTCGCCCGCGCGCCGACTCGCGCCTCCCCCGTCCCCGAGCGGCGGTGCCCGCGGCCCTCTCGCGTAGCAACGCGCCGCTCCCCTCGTGAGGGAGCGCTCTCTGAGCCCCCCACACACGCTGGATACAGTCCCGAGGCCTCTGCCCGCTCCACAGGGTCCCGCAGGCCGCAGGAAACGGGGTGGCCCCGACAGAGGGGGACGGACAGAAGCCTGTCTATCCTGAGAAGCAAGAGCACAAAGTAAGGACGCCCCCCAGCTCACCCCTGGGTGGAAACCGTATGGCTTAGAACGATTCCAAGAGATTTTTCCGACTTTTGTTCAAGCGCACCTGTCTACCCCACCCTCCCCAAGGACCGGTAGGGGTAAATGGACAACCCCAGCCAACGAGAGACTGGATTAGTGTGGGGATTAAATCACTTATACTTGGAATCTTACAGGCCCGGATTCAAAACCTGCACTGGTTAATTCGTCATCTTGTGATCTAGCAAGTTGCTAAATCGTTTAGCCTTGGTTTTCCGCATTGGTAAAATGGTCACAGTGGTGGTGCTTGCCTCAAAGGGTTCTGGGGCTTAAACCTGGTAGTGCCATGGACGAAGGTATGGACACTGCATATAGTGAGCATCAAAAAAAAAAGTTCTCTATGGGGAAAAGATTGTCAGGTAATAGTCAAGTTTTCCAAAGTCAAGTCACAATAAAGGGTGCGTGAGAATTTAAATGAGGGCTGTTGCTCAACATTTGAGGGCTGCAAGAATGGTGATCTCACCTTTCATCAGGAGACACATCCACTGTTGTTTGTTGGACGTCTAAAACGTGCAAGGCACATGCCAGTCGCTATGTGGGTTACAAAGCTGAACGATCCTCGAGCAAGATGAGCCAAAGAGGAGTATATTTCCCAAACGAGACTCTTCCTGGGAGAACTGATGAGGTGGATCCAGATCTCCGTTTTGTGACCTCCAGGAAAAAAGAACCTGTTCTTTCTGTGACAGGTTCACAAACAACCGTAATACAGGACAAAAATGTGAGTTCCTTAAGGCATATATAAAGTGCAATGGGTTTCTTAGGACGAACAGTTTATAACCTGGCTGTGGGACCAAGAAAGTCTCGATAAAAGAGGTGGTATTTGAAAGGGAGCTTAAAAACTGGTAGATATTCCATAGTTCATAGGAATAGAAGGAAAAGATATTCCAGGTGGAGGGAACAGCATGAGTAAAGGCATGGCACTCAGGAAAGTACATGAAAGTCTGTAATTAGTCTAGTACAGAATCATTGGGCAGGACTGGGGTGAGGTCAATAAATCACCTTGGACACAAAATGTAAGGAGGAGTTACCCTGCACTTGCATGATCCTGAGAGTGACTGCCTTCTTAAGTTTCGCACCCTAGATGTCTCATTCACCTCACCCAAGTCCCAACTCAGCTCTGTGTATCAGTGTTTACAAGAAATGGATCCAGCTGTTCTCAACCCTGGCGGAACATTGGAATTACCAGCAATGTATGGCAACTTTAAATACCGGCACAATTTCATTGACAGTCTCCTCTTAGGGAGATGAGCCACCTCCCCTTCAATCTGAAAGATTGTGGCTGCGGCATAAAAAGCCTCACAACTCCACCTTCTTCAGTGGAACATTTGCTTCGGGACCCCTGGGATTCCTATAGGTAATCTGACTACCTTGAGCCACCAGACTTTGAAGAAGTCCAGGCTATACAGAAGAGCGTGTATAAACACCCTGGCTGACAGTACCAGCTGAACGCAGCCTTTGAGTCGTGCCAGTGTAAGTGGCAGAAAAGCAAATAAAGAAATCTTCAGATGATTCCAGCACATAGCTGTCTGAGCGATGCCTAGCTATTTGTCTTGTCTCAGCCAGTATCTCAAACATCACAGAGCAGAGACACACCGTCAGTGCTGTGGCCTGTCTAAATTCTTGACCCACAGAAATCAAGAGCATAATAAAATGGTTACTGTTTGATGCAATCAGTCTTGGTATGGTTTGTTTTGTAACAATAGATGACAAAAATAAGGAGCTGAAAAAAACCCAGACCAAATTGATGCCTGTTTTCCACTTCCAGATTCATATTCAGTTAACATACAGTGGCATCTGGGCATCAGTGTTTTTTTTTTTAAAAGTTCCCAACGGATTATGATGTCCATCCAAGATTGAGAACCACTAAACTCATCTGTACTGTACATACAGGGAAATGGCACAATAAGCAATCAGAAGACAGGCTAAAGGGTGAGGTCATTTGAAGTCCAGGGATAGAACTTTGGATGTAATTAGTAGAGATTTAGAGATTCTAGGCTTAATCAGGGCAGATATTGATTAGAACTGTAGAAATATTAATCTGACATCTCTGTGTGATTTTCTCTTATTAACTGCAAATCTCATTATTTGAACTGCCCCTTTCTTTTGACAACTGTTTGTCAAAAGGAAATACAAAATCATTTAAAAAAAAATAGACTGGCCAATTCACCAAAATTTCATTCAAATCACTGAAGAAGGAAAACCAGGAAAAGGAGGAGGGGAACTGAGCATGAACATCAAGTTATCATGTTTACAAAAATACTGTATTATTTGTTCCTGTGATTGCATGGAGAGTTGTATACATTTTTCTGCAATAGGTGTAGTTTAAGTCTGATCCCTCTAACCCACCTCAGTCCTTAAACTCAGCCCTGTAAGTGGTAGTACTTTCATGCCAGTGCCATTGTAATAGAAAAGAACACATCTGACTCCACATTAGATCTGCTTCTTTGGCTTTCAGCCTGTGCCCTGTTTTCTAGGCTCAGTCTTGCCAGCTCTGCACCTTTTGCAAAACAGTGTTGCCTTTAGCCTGAAATAGACACGAGAGCCTCTTCTCAGGGCTCTGACCTTTAAGGATGTTAGCACTTTTGCACTATATAAAGGTAACAAATTGCAGAATGGAAAGTAACGTTTGTTTTGTTGGAGGTTTACAGGGACACCATGATCTGACCCACATGGACAGCTGCAAAAACAAAGAATTCCTACACCAAGAAGTTTGCACCAACCAACCACATCCCCTCCCCTTTTTAGTATAAAATGAGCCTGAATTCTGACTTGGGGAGGATGATTCTCCAAGGCATTAGTCTGCCATCCTCTCGGTCTGCCGGCTTTCCAAACAAAGTTGTTATTCCTTGCTCCAACACCTCGTCACCTGATTTATAGGCCTGTCACGGGGCGAGCAGAATGAGTTTGGACTCGGTAACACCATGGTAATAACAACAGGTGTTGAAGAAGACTTTTCTGCGATTAAAAATGAAGAATAGAAGAATAATCAGTAGTCATCATTTGTAACATTTCTGAAAATATCTTCCTTTTACTTTTTCTGACACAAATGATATTTTCTGTACCTGTGGCTTTGCTTATTTCCTCTAATGGTCTGTCAAGAGGAAATATAAATTATTAAACAACCAACTAGACATTAATGTTTTTTACTGTTTCAACATGAACACCATATTGCTATGCTGAGTTCTCTAATGCAAATGTAACGTTTGAGAAAGCTGTGGTGGAAATGGATGGCAATTAGATTTCCATTCACAGCCAAGTTCAACAGGCACTACAAAGTGGTAACCATATTTTTGGTTTTCTTTTTATGTAGACAGTGTGCATTTTTGAAAAGTGTTTTCACACATCATTTTTCTGAAACACAGATGCTTCACCGCACATAGTATCAGTCACAAACAGGAGACAGCCAACTTGAGAGAGGAAATGCATCTTCTTACCAACTTCTTTGTAGAAAGATCCTGGGGAGGTGGAGAGAGGAATGTAATTCTGGATTCCAGCTCTCAGGCTTTTTATGGTAAGACTTTGACATGAAAGTATTTCTAGCATGTCAGGAGATGATAGCCATGTGGGGATGTATTATTATATTTCAATTCATCTCTTTCATCTCGGCTTCATGGAGGAACTAGTATCTAAACCATTTCAGACAGCCAGAAAGCCATCTTATTTATATTTTTAAAATTCCACACAAGGCTATCCTTTGGAATGATAACTTGGAATCCTTTCAGTCAGTTCAGTGGACATTTTTATTGCTTTGGCAGACTGAGATCAAACCCTCTTCTTCACCTGGCATCCTGTCCTATGGTGTGGATACTGATCAGGGGCAGGCCCACCTCTTCTGAGGAGGAAAGATGGTCCCTCTCCCTTTCCCCTGGCAACTGGAACAAAGCCTGAGGTCTAGGCTCAGCCTACAGGGTGCTTCACTTGGGACTTTAAATCTGGATCAAAGGACATGAAAGGAAGCTTGTTAGGGTCAGTGGGCAAAAGCAGTGTAATAACAAGTGGCCACAACGCCAGCAGAGACAAGCTAACTGGTGTGATAGGGGAATTTTGGCTGTGACT